TTTATCAAATAAAAATGATGATCAGGTTTTCAAATAAAGTTAGTAGTATCAGTTACCAAAGGTAAAGATATGTGTTAAATGCAATAGAATCAGTCTTGCAAGGAATATCTAAGTATTTCATTGGTGACTTTATTTAGTGAGAGTTTGGCAGAATTCATTGAAAAATCCTCTCTCCATGTCCTAATATGGTGCTTTTAATCATACAACATTACTGAGTTCTGGGCTGTTTGCTTTAGTAGGCTAGTGGTTAATTGCATTTTTCAAATTGAAAATGATCTACACAGGAAATATTGTACTTGAAATGAGGTGTTTCTACCACAGTACACGTGACTATTTTTGTGGAAAAGACACTAATGTGTATGAAATGAAATTTGTTTACAACGTGCATTTCCCACTCTCTTCTGGACATGACCAATGCATTCCTTCTTTTCCATTTCAATAAACTTCTTTCGCCCTTGTGAAATTCTTACAGTCACTGTCACCATAAAACTGAGGGTACTTTAGGTTGTATTTGTCAACAGACCTCTGAAATATGTGCTCTTCTCCCTCTGGCTCTAAGACTGGTGTTGGTCCCCAGAACTTTGCTTTACACTTAAAATGCTCAGCTCTCTCCTAGACTAAGGACTTCTTCATGAAGCGCTTTTCATGTGTCCATAGATATTGCAGTAACACAGCCATTATGTGATGAGTAACCTCTCCTTTGCCATGTAATATCACATGAATTGCCACAAATAACTTTTCCTGCTGCAGATGAAGTTGGTTGGCTTTTGAATTTACTTCATAGCTCTTCCCCTGCCTTTTCTTTGTACAAAAGGAAAAGGACTTCTTCAAACAAAAGAATAACAGTGTATTTGGTAAAACTATAGAAAATATTTGTAAAAGAGTGGATGTTAAACTTGTAACTAGTAAAGGGAGACTATAAAAATTAGCTTCAAAACCAACTTTTGTATCATCAAAAATATTCTGCAAAAATCTAGTGACTGTGCATAAGATTAAAGAAACACTAACTCTTAATAGTCCGGCATATGTGGGAATGTGCATTCTTAATCTTTCTAAGACACTAATGTACATACATACATACATACACACATACTTTATTAGTATTCCCCAGGGGGCTTTTCAATACTAAACAGCAAAGACCATTATAATAAAAAATGAATAAAATTATAAAAAGCAGTCATTAATATAATTCTCTAGCATGTGCGTTTTCACCTTTTTTTAAAATGATGTTAAAGATAACTGTTTAAAGTCTTTGTCTAAATTGTTCCAAATGTTGACTGCTTTATGGAGGAAACGTCGCTGGCCTGACTTTGTCTTGCTTGGAGGAAAATCAAGGGATTCTCTGTTTCTAGTGTTATGATAGTGAAAAGATTTTCGGAGAGACTCACACAAGTATGTGGGGGCCAGGCCCTTCATGCACCTAAACGTCATTACAGTGTCTCTGCAGTTGAGATGCTCATTTACTGGTAGCCATTTGACCTCGCGTAACGCAGGTGTCATGTGCCCAAGTTTCTTGGTTTTTGTGATGATTCTGCACACGAAATTCTGAACAGCTTGAAGCTTCTTGATGTTGGTGGCAGTTGTGTTTGACCAAACTGTAGAGCAATAGAAAGAGATCGAGATTTCGTTAGGAAGCCTGCACGGTAGTTGTTGTGTCCCGACCATAATGAACTTGGTCTTTTCAGGGTTGTTTAATAGTTGATTTCTTTAATGTATGACTTTCATTATAATTGTATTAAACAAAAGTATGGTAACAAAGCTGAATTATCATTCACTTATTAAACACAGACAGTAAGAGTTTAACGTATGAAATGAAGCTGAAGATTTGTATCAATGCTTTTGGAAAAATAAAGATAAATTTGATAATGGTGAATATCCTGAAAACTCTCCATATTTTGATAAAACAAACAAGAAAGTTATTGGTAAGTTTGAAAATGAAGGTTGTGGGATTCCTCTAGTAGAATGTATTGGCTTAAGGTCAAAAATGTGTTCCTACATAAAAGACAATAATAAAGGTGGTAAAACAGCAAAAGGAATAAAGAAAAATGTTATAAAAAAGAACGTCAAACCTGAAGACTATGCGTTAGGTAGTTATGAAATCAATAAAATCTCAGCTACTTTGATGACAAATGCTACATCCATGAAAATGGTATAAAAAGTTATGATTACAGTCATTATAGCATATAAAAATATAATACTCTTCTAATTTATTCAGTATCCATTATGTGGAGAAGATGTTAACCGTTTATTTCAATTAAAACCCTTATAAAACACTATTCTTAGCGTTATTCACATATCGGTATCTATTATGTAGGGAAGATATATAACTGACAATCATTCTACAGGATCATAAGGGGAGCATCATGGTTTTGGGTGAAGTCTTAAAATATTTTTTGTTACTATTTTGTGCCTCTCCGAACAAGGTATCTTCGTACTCTGGCTGCTGCCTTTGTTCTTGCTTTGTCTCTCTATCCAATTCTATGTTGAATCTCCTATTAAACGACTCATCTTGTTCATCTGTCTCATTGAGAAATGCACAGTCTTGTTTGTTATCAGGCTCGATCGCTTCTTCATTGTCTTGAGGAACACAACATAGTTTTTGAACTTATCTTGATCAAGTCCAAGTTGTTTGCAAAGCAAATGAAGTGACTTTGGTAGTGACATAGCAAACCTTTCCACTATTAGAAAAATGGCTCCCAAGGAATCAAAAATTGCCCGTAAAAATGCAAGGAGTGCTTCAAAGGCATTGTCAGATAGTGAGCAAAAAGGTGACCAAAGGCAAAGAAATATAAGCATCTACCAAACAATAGCTCTTATTTGAACCAGAAGGTAATGCAAGTTTCATCCCTGTCAAATCATCCCACCACTTGACATTGCTGACGGAGGAAATGTTGTTCTTGTTTGCCCTCTTTCTCGCAAATTGCGAATTGGGTCAAATTGTAGCTCAGGTGGTTATTCACCAAGAGTGCGATACTGTGCATTAGCACAAAAAGTTTCATGACTTTCATTGCTTCTTTTTTTCTTGTGATTAGGTTATTCAACAATACTTTCTTGTGGACGGGAAGAACTTTCTTTCTCTTGAAGGTGGGAAGTGGGGTCCCTACCTTGTGCTTTCCTTTCCTTGAGCATCTATCGCCATTTTTTCAAGTAATTTTTTCTCCACTCTTTCTTGTGCTATTCCATCTATTTAATGACTTTAACTTCCGTCAATGACAACGATTGAAGAAGCCAGTATTATATCATAGTAACTACAGAAAACCCAGCCAGTTCATTGACATGAGTAAGGACATTGCATGACACNGATTAGGTTATTCAACAATACTTTCTTGTGGACGGGAAGAACTTTCTTTCTCTTGAAGGTGGAAAGTGGGGTCCCTACCTTGTGCTTTCCTTTCCTTGAGCATATATCGCCATTTTTTCAAGTAATTTTTTCTCCACTCTTTCTTGTGCTATTCCATCTATTTAATGACTTTAACTTCCGTCAATGACAACGATTGAAGAAGCCAGTATTATATCATAGTAACTACAGAAAACCCAGCCAGTTCATTGACATGAGTAAGGACATTGCATGACACAATCAGACTTGATAAGGCTGTAACCACGCCAAACTGTTTGGTAAACTAAGTTTCTCAAACTCAATTAAACGATTGGGCTTGATTAACTTTGGTAGTAGTACCTAAAAATTTGTGTTCGATTTCTGAGTTTCCTGATGCTTTGCACACTAAAAGGACTCTTCAAAACCGTTGGCTATTTTAAGTGCTGGCTTAGAATGATCAATTAAGTTCTATTGACCAAATCATCTGAAATGGTAGTGCTTACTTTAAAGGCTTCTCATTACTGTGCTGTTTTCTGGGAAATGATAGCACTAATAATAATTCATAGCATGTCATACATTTTAGAGGAGGCAGTGTGGCCGAGTTGTCAGTGTGTTAGGTGTGCAGACCAGCGGTCCCCAGACAGTCCCAGGTTCGAGTCCCACTCTCAGTCATGTTTGTATAACTACAGATGTACCCTGCATGGCAGGCACAAAAAAGCGAGTTTATGAAATTCTTGCCAGTTTGGATTTGTAATTTCTTGTTGATGTCTTTATATTTGAATTATCTGTCTCTATTTCTAAGACGTGATTGAAACTGTAATCCACATATTTACAGGAGTTTCATTAATTCTGAAAGTTGGAGGGCATGTGATGGAAAGTAGTCAGGTACCCCAAATGGCCAGGGCCAGAGGCCCAAGCTTCTAGGGAGGTCTATGCTCCTCAAGAAAATTTTGAAAAATTAGACTCCCAGGATTGCATTTTGTGTATTCTGGGAGGAAATTCTTCTTTTATCATCACTCGTCATTTACCCAGTTTACAACAAAAAATTTCATTGGGCTCTTCAAGAATTTGTTTATTCTTCGTTTGTATCAAGTAACAAAAATAACGAGCGGTGAAAAACGTTTGCAATGCACTTTTTTGGGTTAAAAGTAATTTTAAGAGGATTTTATTTGGTGTTTGAGATTTCTTTTGCAAAGCATCTCCACATTTGGAATGAGCTATTAAGCTTGTGCACTGAGAGGCTTGAAGCAGTAAGTTGGATGCTGCTGGAGTGATGTGGCATAATGAATGAAATTTACAGGAAATGTCATTTTTTGTTGTACGAGTTAAACAGGCAATAAGGCTAGATTGATTTGACATGGCTTGAAGTTGTTGTTTGGTCTTAGTCAGCACTCCCAGTCCCTGCTGATGAACATGCCATCAAGCCTCCACATGATTGCAACTGAAAACTGCCTGAAAGTGAAAAAATTCGAGGCTGAATTGTGAACATTTAAAAATAAAATAAGAATAAAGCCCCGGCTCAGACTTTGAAA